TCATGATGCTGCCACCGCCGTGCTTCACGGTGGGGATGGTGTGTTTGTGATGACGTGCAGTGTTTGGTGTTCTCCAACCATAGCGTCTCGTCTGATGGACAAAAACCTCCACTTTGGTCTCCTTAGATCAAAGAACCTTCTTCCAGGCGACTTCAGAGTCTCCACATGTCTTCTGGTGAATTCAGGAGTTTATTCAGGAGATTTTAGCAAAACCAAACAACGAACTGACATCACTCCTGTTTTAACCTCCTCACGCTGGCTCCAGGTATGTTTTAGGATAGATCCTGTTTGTGTTTTAATTTCCTTTAAACTGTGTTTTATTTCTTCCAGTGCTGTTTTTACCTTATCGACTCTGTGCTGTTGTCTCTTAAACTCTGATCATTTCATCCCTGTATGTTTTATATTGCAGCACTTTGTACCCGGGGCTTTAAAAAGTGCTCTTTATGTAATTACAGATTTTATTTACAGCGAGGTTCCATGAACGGAACATTAAGGAGCAGCTTGGATGCAGAAATGCAGTTTGTTTTTGTTTGTTTTTTTAATTAATGCATTGCAGAGACATTCAAACGTCAATCAGCAACATCGACTGACTTTAAAAGCTTTAATGTACTTGAGGTGTGTTTTACTGACGTGACTGTTAACATCACAGAACACACAGCAGCCCGTTTGACTTCAGAGGAATTTAAATTGACTTCCATTCATTCCTGAAGACTTACCCTGAACTTTAACCTGACCTCCCCTTGAAAATGCCACCGTTTATGTTCTGGGTTCTGTTTGTCCCCTAAACGAGGTCGGATCCCCGAAATGTGACTGTATGTGCACATGTGTGTCCTCACAACAGCAGCAACACCAGCGCACAAGCACACACTGCTGAGAAGATTAATTCTAGCAACGGTGTGAGGGTGAAGACAGAAACCCTGCCGGATATTCTAAATGTGTGTCAGGACGTAAATAGTTGTAAACTATTAATATCTGAGCTGTCGTCTCTCAGCAGCAGCGCCGACCCGTTTGGATACCTGCATTTATTATTAGCGCCGTGCTGAGAGTCGGGCTCCCAACCTGCAAAGTGAACTTTCTGGATTCAGTTCAGCAAACTCCTGCTGAGATGTTCCAGAGGAGTGAATGCAGGCGGATGCTCGGTGTAGTGTTTAAATAACCTGCACAGAGGATGTTCCACATTTTAATCTTAACAAACGGTGTGAATGTTGCTGTTTGGACGCTGCAAGCAGACAGTTCAGCAGGATCCAGTCGAAGAGTGTGCGTCTATAAATAGAAAGTGGCCCAATGAAACTTGAACGTCTCACACAGTCGAAGCAGCAGAGCCTTAAAGCTGCACTGCTCACATAAAACCAATAACAATAAACCTGCTAGCTATGCTATGCTATGCTAGTAACATTGCAGCGAACGCCACCTCGTTAAGAGGCTCAGTTCTGTTAATGTGCAGGTCAGTGGGGTTGCAGCGATGCACGAACAGAACGGATATTTAAGGAATCAGACTTTAATATCGGGCCAGTGATACTCAAACCAAACCTCCACCTTCATCTGAGCCCAGATGACGTTCCTCCTCCATCACCTTCACCAGAGTCCGACTAGGGAACCGCTCCACTTTGAGCTGAGGAGTTTCCCGTCCAGTGGCCACTTGGAACCCCAACCTCAGCAGGTTGGTGGTCGTCGTCGACGCACCAAACTCCTCCGGATTAAGTACAGTGGCTTCAACAAATGTGAGTGAACATCCCTTCTAAAGTCCAGACACTAATTCTCAGCCTCCAGAACTTCACCTTGT